AGGGTCACTCATTGTTCCCTTGCTTCTCCCAATTTTCCATAGTTCGGAGTCACTGCCACAGTACAAATACTTGTTGGGAGCTCTCTGAGTTTTACTTTGTCTAAAAGTTAGTTCTCTTAGTAGCCCATACTGAATGTCTCCTTTTCTTCTCGCGTTCCCTCAACATGTGATTCTGAAATGTTGTAATCCCTCAACATACATACGTATGTATACAAATACTCTGCTTTTAAAAAAGATTTAAGGCAAATTATATGTATATGCGGATATACATACAATGCAGTGAATTTTTTAAAAATCAGGATATGGGGCAAAGGGAATATATGAGTAGGAAAATTAGGCACAGCTAGGATAAAGGTTATTTCACAAAGTTCAGACTACAAATAAGATCCTCTAGAGGCAAGTCACAAATGTTTTTCTGAGTTTCCTAGCAGCCAAAGCCAAGAGGGAAACCTAAAAGAATAAAATTCACATGTCTATAAGATGCAAACAAGCCATCAGCTCAAGAGAAGAATGAATACTTGCACTCTATAAACTTTCCCCATAAGTGCTCATAAAAGAGGCATTGAGTGATCAAAATGGTAAGTCCCTCCTGCAGTGAATAGCATAGCCATTTGGTTGACTTCTTGCAATGTCTCTTGGAGTAGGCTTGGTAGCAAGGCCCCGTGTGGGAAAACGACTCCACTGGAGGCCTGTGCAGGTTGTTTCAGTGCAGTTCATCACTTCTCAAAGGATACTCTCCTGAGGAACCTTGCATTTGGGAGATGCTCTGCCTCAAAAAAGTGCCAAAATCAAATGAGTCTGGCAAAAACAATACTAGCATATTAAAGGCTCTGAGAAGTCCTGCAATTAAGACATTGGCCCAGTATTTCCCAAACTGATTTAATCACAAGACCTTTTTAAAAAATTGAAACACTTATTTGGCACATTGAGAGACATTGGTCTAAGGCAGAGATTAGCAGACTTTCTGCTAAGGGCCAGAGATGTTTTAAGCATACAGTCTCTGTCATAACTACTCAATTCTGCCATTGTATCAAGAAAGCATGGCAGTATTCCAATAAAGCTTCATTTATGGATACTGAAGTTAGAATTTCATATAATTTTCACGTGTCATGAAATAATATTCTTTTGATTTTTTTTGTCAACCATTTAAAAATGCAAAAACTATTTTTATCTCGCAGGCCATTCAGAAATAGGTGGCAGGCCCGATTTGGTCTGTGAGCTGCAGTTTGCCAATCCCTGATCAAGAATAACATGGGGCCCGCCCCGTGGCTCAGCAGTTAAGTGCGCGTACTCTGCTACTGGCGGCCTGGGTTGGGATCCCGGGCGTGCACCGACACATCGCTTCTCCAGCCATGCTGAGGCCGAGTCCCACATACAGCAACTAGAAGGCTGTGCAACTGTGACATACAACTATCTACTGGGGCTTTGAGGAGAAAAGGGGAAAAAAAGGAGGATTGGCAATACATGTTAGCTCAAGGCCGGTCTTCCTCAGCTAAAAAACAAAAAGAGGAGGATTGGCATGGATGTTAGCTCAGGGCTGATCTTCCTCACACACACAAAAAAAGAATAATGTTTGGATGGTATATCTTTCCAGCAAGCTGTCCTGAGTGCTGTTCCTTAGAGTTGTTTTAATTTAAACTTTTATGGGCCGGCCCCGTGTCTTAGTGGTTAAGTGCGCGCTCCGCTGCTGGCGGCCCGGGTTTGGATCCCGGGCGCGCACCGATGCACTGCTTCTCCAGCCATGCTGAGGCCGCGTCCCACATACAGCAACTAGAAGGATGTGCAGCTACGACATACAACTATCTACTGGGGCTTTGGAGGAAAAAAATAAATAAATAAAAAATTTAATTTAAACTTTTATGTTTCTGGTTTAATAGCAGATTTTAAAAAAAAAGTAGTAGTAGAGAATTGGTTTGAGTGCTTCCAGGCTAGTCTAAGATTTTTCTCACAAACAATTTGTGGGTCCTCTCAAAGAAGACATTTACAGACTAATAATTGAAGCCTTAAAGTTTTACTCTGTCACATATGGCTGAATCAGTTTGAGGCTGGAAATGCGTTAGTGGACATTCATAGAATTCATTCATAGAAATAAAAGTCAAAGCACCCAGAGACATTTAATTTTAAGAAAACATAACTTCCTAGTCAGCTCTTCAAGTAAACCAGTAAACTGTGGCCCCCGCCAAGCTAACAGAGTGTTCTTTTTGATTTTTGACTGGAGGGAAGTTCTTTCAGCTTCTTATGATGTCATTATGATGAAAGAATGACCAAAACATTCCCACCACCAAGTCTGACATTTCAGTTTCAGGTCAACAAGTATTTATTGAGTACTCAGTATATATAAAGCATTTTGCTAGCTTGCTAGCTTTTATGAGGGGTCCAAAAAGGAGCAAAAAGCAGACAGTTCCTTCTTTACCTTATGAATCATGCTCAAGATCCTCACCAATTTAGAGCCCATTACTGTGGTGTCAGGATTGATTTCACCTCCCTGCCCCTCCTGTCAGCGTGCTTTCATTCCTTCAGCAAACACTTGTGAGTTGCAGCCTCTATTCAGAGCACTGGAACACAGCCTCCAGGGAGCCTTCTTTCCAAGGGACATGTTCTCTTTTCCTCTGGCACTCTGGCATAATTACAGCCTTTTATATAGTGGAACAGAAATTATTTCTTTATATCCTGAGACCTCAACATTTATGTTCCTCGCACTGTGTACGCTTCTCTTGAAATGTTTAGTGAGATGAGTGGATCTCCTGATTAACCACTCTTCCTGGGACTGTGCTCTAAATGCTCTTGTTCCCTTTACCTGAGTGGCACCCACCTTTCCCTGCCCTCTTAGTGTACCAGTGACTTCATAGTTTTATCAGATTCATAATTTTAAAGCTGTTCACTATATTAAGCAATACTAATTTATAAGATTGGTAAACATCCTTATAGGCAATATTATGTATCTGTTGAACAATTATTTTTTGATTGAGGGAGATTCTGTATAGTGCTAATTTTTTCCATTTATAAAGGTAATACTTAATTGTAGTGAAAATTTTTAAAAATATGGACAAGTATAATAGAAAAAATTAATCCAAAATTTTAGCACCCATTGATCAATTCTATTAACAATTAACACATTTTTTACTTTCCTTGACTCAAAAATCACATTTAAAATTTAAAATTTGTAACTTAATAAACAGTAAAATTGACCTTCATTTGTTGTATAGTTCTATGAATTTTAGGACATGTATAGATTCCTGAGAGCACCACTATAATCAAGATACAGAAAAACTTTATTACTCCAAAACAAACACCCTTTTATAATCACACCTTCCCCAACCCTTGGCAACTACTGATCTGCTCTCTGTCATGTAATTTTGTCTTTTTGAGAATGTCATATAAATGAAATCATACATTATATAAGCTTGTGAGAGTGGCTTCTTAACTCAGTATAATACCTTTGAGATTCATCCAAGTTCTTGTGTGTATGCGTAATTTGTTCCTTTTTGTTGCTAAGTACTATTTCATTATGTAGATGTATCATACTTTGGTTATCCATCTATCCATTTACCCATTTAAGAGTCTTTCTTTTTTAACATTTTGAAATCTGAAATCCTGAAGTATATTAAAATCAGTGTATATATTTAATGTGGTGGCGTGTTTTGTTTCCCCAGTAAGCTATCATTGAATTGATGGTGCATCTTAGAATCAATACTGTCTTAGAATTGAGGTATTGTAGTGGTGAGGTGATCAGTGTGAGGGATCAGAGAGGACTGTTGAGGGTTATTAGGAGTACAAGAAGTGAGCCGTAAGGGGACTGATAAAGGAGGACCCTGAGAGCTTTGCAGGCCAGCGCCCAGAGCAGCTTGGCAGCCTTTGGGGAAGTTTTGAGCGGAGGAACGAACAAGGAAAGAAGTCATTAAGAACAAAGCCAATCTAATTGTGGTGACGACCACGATGTCCACCATCATCAGTGTTGATGAGTCAGGAGGACACCAGGGAATGGCAGCAGTGGTGCTGGTCCTAGAGGAGATGGAGGAAGAACTTGGGAGGAGTCCTGCGGAAGCAGAGAGCGCTGATAGAGAACCTGTGTGTGGGGGAGGGTGGGTGGTTCCTGCTGAACACCGCAACCTCCAGGCTAGTGCCTGGGGAAGAAAGGGCAGGAGGTGTGGAGAACTGAGGACACACTCTGCCCAGATCTTAGGTATTTATGTGGTAGGAATGGGTGGGTTGGGTAGGGCATGTTATTTGGGAAACTCTAAAGCAAAATGGGAATGTCTTGGGGCTTCACAGATTAAGAGTGAGATGTGCATACGGCTATTGTGTGAAGATAAATAGGCATAGGGTGTACTTGATTATATGCGCTTGAGTGAAATAGATAATTATTCTTTGGAAACAAACTGTGAGTAGGGCAATTTCCAAGTGGAGTTGTGTTGTGGCTAACTGTATGGCCCAAAGTTTTTTGCAGACTTATTTTTGGGTCCTATCCCCCTATGTCACAAGAAGTCAGGTGATTTATTCTTTGACACACCCCACTTTTGTGAGATAGGAGAAGGAACGTAAAGCATACTCGTATAGATCCTTGAAGGACAGGTTCCCATCAGCCACTGAGAAAGAGGGAGGCAAAAGTAAGAACTGACCACTGGAGAGTAATTTACCAAAGGGACTTGCCCCTCTTGTCAGATAACTTTTCTTGGGAAGCCGCATTCATGGAAGCTGCCTCACTTCCACTGGCTCACTCCTATTCTTGCTCAGGATCAAGGAGAAGTAGGTGCCAGTTCACAGAGAGGAAGAGAAAGGCAGAGTCAGTATGGAGCCTTGTTACCTTCCCCCATTTGTTTCTTCCCCAGTCTCACATTTTACTAAAGATCCTTTTCTCAGAGAGACATTATAGAAGTTACTCTTCACTTTGCCTACCATTTGCACATTTGCAAAATAGCTGGTCTTTTAAAGCTATATGACAGTGAGGTAAAGTTTCTATTATTTGTGACATTGCTAATTATATCTTCAATCTTTCCTAGAAAAGACTGTATCTTCACCATTGATCCATCAACTGCCCGTGACCTTGATGATGCCCTCTCCTGCAAGCCGCTCGCTGATGGTAGGATGGAATGTTCTATACCATTCTGGGTAGCAGGCAGTGTGCATACCTGTGTGGTTGGCCTGGCTGCATTGTACTCCCCACGCAGTCTGGCAGGGTTGGGTTTGCTTTGTTCCTGAACTTGCCATAAGCTCGTGAGCCTACACAAGTATGTGACCTAAAGATTGTGTTCCTGTGGTGATTTTGGTGAGGGTGAGAATAAGAAATGTCCAGGACCCTTCTCGGGCCTCAGAAGAGGCAGCAGTGAGGGCAGAAGAACTAATTGCAGGCCTTGGCCCTTAAGGAAGTTCCAGTTTGGGTGTGATGTATTAAAGAAGAAAATCCCTAAGCTCTGCTTAGGAGAAACATGGGGTTGTTTACCTGAATTTAACAACAGATTAGAGTGATTCAAGGGGTGCTCTCCAAAGGCATGCTCAGCAGTGGGCGGTAGGAACACCTTCCCTGAGGAATGCCCCTCACGGCCTGAGCTAGAGAAGCCTGCATTACTCCCAGTGCATCTTTGTCTCTCCGGCAGATTGCGAAAGGCAGCTGTTAGGGGCTCTTGAAACGTTCTTTTGGAATGGAGCTAAGCAGCAAAAAGTGGGATTCAAAGCCAGTGGTCTTTGAAAACCACGGTGGAGGAAAGGGAAAGTGTGTGGGGTATGAGAAGAGCAAACCCTATCAATCCCCTTTCTAAGGCCCCCCTAGATGTACTACTTATAGTCTTTAGCTACTTCTGCCCCTCTCTAAGGGCAGTGTCTGGGTGACTGCTTTGACTTGAGTCATTCTCGGATATGGCTTTGGCGTTAATATGGCCTTTGATGGCTTCCCCATGATGAGGATCCACCCTTGCGGTTTCAGTCTACTGCAAAGTGTTGATGGCCCAGTGGCCTAGTCTTTTAAACCATTGCAGAGGTGTTCACATATTCCATTGACATAACACTCCACAGGTTCAACGTGTAATCTCCTCTGTGCTATAATAGACAGTGAAGCTTAGTAGATGGGAGGCTGAGAGACAGAAAACATCATTGCCTAAAATGCTTTTATCTTCTTTTAGTGGGACTCTTCCTTGAAACTGGAGGCAAGATTGCTCAGTATTTTCAACTAAAGAAAATTGAAAGGAAGATAAAGCATAAAGAGAGAAAAGTTCCGATGGAAGTTTTAGAGGAATTATATATTTTTAAAATCCAAAATTTGAGCAGCCTACTTTAAAAAGCAAATACTAGGTTGATTTCTTACACTCTGAGCAATCTTGGCTGCATGCAAAGGCTTGAGCTTATGGCTGTCTGTGTGAGCTCCACTCCCCTGAGCCCCAGGGTGAAGAGTGCCCCCAGGCAGAAAGCCAGGTGACAGTGGACCTCACTTCCTATATTTCCCTTCTCTCCAAGTTCACAGCCCTGCACTGTTTGTGGTCTAATGCTTGAAAACAGTTACTTCATTTATTTCATCCACTTTTAGAGTTGTTAATGGCAGAAGGGTAGGTCTAATACCTGTTACTCCGTCTCGGCTGGCCCGGATAATATTCCCCTTGCAAGGACTCCAAGGAGCAGGCACGTGTCCTGCCCTACTCACTGTACACACTGTTTTGTGTCTAGGGTACCAGATTACCGGCAGAGGTTTCATGTAAGGAAATGCTAAAAGAAGGGGCGGGAAAAGTAGATTGGGGACAAATTGTACGTGTTTGTAGATTTCTGACCAAAGAGTGTTCTTTGTCAGACAATTGAAAACCAATTGTTTGGTTCAGGGAGAGCAGTCAAAATGAGGAAGATAATTTAGCAGTACAAGATGAAGGAAAAGGAAAGGAAATAGAGGCAGAGAAACATTGCTATTGTTTAGGGCTATAGGTAATAAGAAAGTGGACTGGAGTTGGTGGCAGTATTAGTGGGGGTGGGGAGGACAGATGTGAGAAAGGGCTAATGACAGAAGAATCAATGGAAATGGATGTTGGCGTTAAGGGAGAGGAGTTGAAGGTGGGGCAGCCTGGGTGACAAGGAGATGGAATCCACAGGTAGAAACCGGGAAGGCAGGAGGACAGGCTGGTTTGGGAGAGACTGTGTCTACATGGAGTTGTCTGTCTGCTGATGTGTATTTATATAAGCTGCTGCAAATCCTTTTCAGAGGAGGTAAGGGACACATAAACTAAATATATGCAGTCCATATAACTATATACAGACAGAGCCCTGAAGAAATGTAGGTAATGCACCAAAATGCAAAGAGTGGTTTTATTAGGATGATGGGATCATAAGTGATTTTTCTCTTTTCTCTAGTTTCCAAATTTTTATAATGTGGTAATAATAGTTTTATAATGAAAAAAATTTTGTAGTAAAAAAAAATTATGAGGTGCCAGAAATCGCAGGCTACCCAGCAGCGCTTTGCACTAGGTGATCAGATACCTTTCATCTGCTTAGTGCTTCTCGCATTCCACAGGAGTAATTAACGTCTGGTCATTTGGCAGAACAGCAGAAAAAGGACATGGAAAAGGAATCAGGGAAGAATCTGAAAAGGCCTAAGTTGGTCAGTCAAGCGTTTTTATGGTGGCACTTCTACAGTTGGCCTTTGTGACAGCAGTTTCTGCCAAGGCCGTTTATCCAGGGAGATGAAAAGTGAAAGTCAATTCCAGTTTGGACTGGGGTGAGGTTGGCTAAGTTCAGGTTCCGTTAGTTACCAGTTCATGTCACTTCTTACTTAGAGGAAAAAATGTTTAATGTTTCAAAAAGCAAATAATGTTTTCTGGGCATATTTACATCATCTATAACCATTTGTATTTAAAGAAAATATAGAGGTCCAACTTTCCTTTGGTCCCACTGAAATCATCTGAATGACTATTCGTGAAAATAAAACACACAGACAGATGTAACTTATTTAGTCCTCACTCTCCCTTTCTATGGAGGTCAGTCATACCCATAGGATCTGTTACCAGCATCTCCTATAGGTGCGAGACGCAGATGTTACAGTCTGCAGATAAATTCTGCAGAAATTAGTGACACCTGTTCTCTAGTAGGACATGATTAGGTTGGAAGGGGCTGAGGAGGAGGTGCCTCCTACTCTTGAGGAATCTCAGCTTTGGAAAGGATTCTGCCAGTCATCCAGCCTGGTAGTTCTCCTCCTTTTGTAGCCTATAAACACTCCTGAGTGGAATATTGCCATGAGCATTCCCCAGCCTGCTAACTTTAGTGTGGAGTCTTCCACTTTTACTCAAGAAAATATTAAATAATGCAAGTGAATGAGTGGTGTTATAATGATAACCCAGAATCTAAAGACAGTAAATCACACACTTCAGTGTTTTATTACTGTAACAGATCATTTGCAGCACACCTCACAGTTGACCTCACCACTCAAGTGTGGGAATGCCACGGTTGTCACATCACCCTCTGTTTTTCAGATTACCTCTAGACATCCACTTATTGAATATCCAGATTGCATTTTAACTCTCTACCTTACAGGCAGCCCATTTGGCCTTAATATTGCATGACTGTTAGGAAATCCTTCCTTGTAATGATCTGAAATACTGCTGTCTTCCTGTAATTTTCCACCATTGGTCCCATTTAGGCCCCTTCAGGCCCTACAGAACAAGTCTTGTCTCTCATGTGACAACCCCTCAGATACTAGATAACAGCTATCATGTATATCTGAGTCACAACTTCTCAGCTAAGCATCCTGTGTATTCTTCCATGTTCTGTAGCTTATGAAGTTTGAGCCTATTTCCCATGTTGTGGAGTTACTTCTGCCTTTATGAGGTCTGACATACATGGCTGCTGTATCCAGACTTCTCCTCCCTGGCTGTCAGGGCATGGTGACTCTCTCCCAGCCAGTTCCTCCTTATTGGGCAGAGCTGAGTCCAGAGTAATAGCCACCCATTCTGTTCAATTAAACAATCATTATTGCTTTGCTCTAGTCTCTGAGAGAGGAAATTGTCAGCGAGACAAGTCAGGACCTTTATTCAGCTTTTAGTTGATTGAGGTTCCCAACAGATCCTACAGGAAATTGATGTTCACTGCTTCTCTAGCATCTTGTTTCTCTAATGTTTTATTCTCTAGTGAGTGCTCTGCCATTGAACATGGCAAGATTATCATAGCCAGGCCTTAGAAATGAAGGATTGAGGCTAGGGAGAGAGGGGAATGGAGAATGACTGCTAACGGGTTTGGGGTTTCTTTTGGGAGTGATGAAAATGTTCTGGAATTAGTTGACAGTTGTACTTTGTGAATATGCTAAAAACCACTGGGGGAAAATGAGTGAATGGCTGAATGAATAAGAATAAATAAACAAACAAATCCATTCATCCTTGGGGCTTTCTGGAATTTGGAATTTACACCTTAACCATAACTTAGCAGAAGTCTTAATGGAATGGCTGGGCTGGCTACCCATAGTCACATCCCTCTTGCCTGTCTCTTCCTTGTTCTTTCATCTCTGAACCATGAAATTCCCATCCAAGGAGCACATCCCTCTTCTCAGCCACCTGCTCATATTTCCCATCCCCACAGAATGCAGCCATCTGATTCAAAGAAAGAAGTATCTGTCCTACTGTCCAGGTATAAGAAAATGCTCAGATAAATATCTAACCCAAGGGGCCTCAGAAATACAAACTACCTACTCTGCTATAGAGGGTGCCAGTCTTCCCGCTGGTTTGCCTCTGTTGCCTGGCTTTCCCTTCTCTGAGGGAGCAGGGAGCTATTTCCCTGGGAGCCCTTCTCAGTTAGGGAATAGGAACAAGAGACTAGGAGCAAAACCTGTAAGAGTCTCGTAGAATACCTAAACTCTGTAACTTCCTCTTATGATTATATTTGTCACCTGCTGAGAGTTTCTAATCATGACTGATGGCCTTTGGAGACAGTGAGAAAGTAGGAGCTGGAGAGACTACCCCTCTGTGTGCCAGGCTTAGACCAGAGAACCTGAGGGATAGAATGGGCGGTAATGGTTTTAAAGAACAAAGAGCTGAGATGAAGTCTTTGGATCTGCTATTCAGAAGGAAAAGAGAACATGGGAGTCCTGGAGCTTGTGAGTGAAAGATTCATGAGTAATAC